CCTCTTCCACCTCCTCTGCCGCCTCCTGACAGGTTAGTTGCTGCAGCGACTCCAAACCGTGGCACATCTGGAGGCACTTCAGTGCTGCGACAGTGCGGTGTGTGTGTGTGTTTGTGTGGGTGTGTGTGTGTGTGTATGTGTGCTTCCTTTTCGAGCAAAAGCTGTAACTCTCAAAAGGATCTGTCAGCATGGTAGTGACTTTGGTGAACACGACGCGACTGTGCCTCGTGTAGAAAGTTGATGTCTTGTTTGGCGAGCCCCGGGTATGCCTCGTTTGACGAGCCCAGGCAGCCATGCCTCTTCACTCTGAGGCCCTCTCGGACGAATCCTTTGACTGCGCCTGCTCTTTCTCTAAGGCTACCTCACCAAACCTTTTGATGGTTTTCACAACGCTTTCGTTGTTGATGTTGGACATGACTCCGCCAGTGGTGTACTCTCGACGCCACATGCTGGTGTCTTGCGTCCACTCTACGCTGCCCGGGCTGAACTTCGCACGGTTCTTCCAGACAGTGCCTGTCGAGACGACAAAGACAAATGATGATAGAAGCATCGCCAGACCTATGGCCAAACCATACGAGCCCAAGCACCACACACAAATGGCGGCTATGAAGAAGATAAATGACTCGGTCAGAAGAATCACTGGGTCTCCGATGGTGTCTGCATTTGCCAGGAAGAACTTCAAGGCATTCAATTCTGTCAAAGGATCCACATAGCTCAGGTTCAGGACGCACACAATGATGCACAGCATGTTGAAGAGCAAGGAGGCAATGCAAAGCGCCACATACCACTGCTGCACGTGGATAAGCTCGTAGTTGGCCAATTCGAAGCCCACGGGAGAAATGGGATCCACCTGACCGAGAACAGCGGTGTGATCATGTTTGATCTTATTAGTACCCTATACGTAATAACAATAATATCCTATAATGGGACAATAAAATAATACCCTATAGTAGTACCCTAGAATAGTACCCTATCATAGCACCCTCTCGCCTATAGTAATACCTGACTAATTATCTTTCATATTTGGTTGGTCCATGGTTGAGGTGTTGTTGATGTATGACCGACTTGTGGTTGTTAAATGATTGACGCAAATGACTCATGCCTTCCAGACTGTGCATGAGATGATAACATCACACTATGGGTTCAAAATGTCTTCCGAGCTTCAACGGCTGATTGGTTTTATGATTGATTCGTGGTTAACCTACGATCGATATGTGGATTGATGTGGTCGAGACTGAGGGTCAGTACATGTTAGTTGGGTTGCCATCATGCTTAGTGGCTAAGTCTTTGTAGTCTTCACCTACGAGAAGCTGACTGAGTACACGTGCCAAGGAAAGGGCTTTGCGTTAATCGAGTACTGCAAACATTCTTCAATGCATTTCAACCCCATAAAGTTGATTGGAATGGTCGAAAGCCTGTTTTTTCGACTGGACACTGCTCGCCTGCAACATGGCCATCACCATGGTTAAAACCAGAGCCGACGTCACACCAAGGTTCGTCCACGCGTTCTTGGAAGAATCCTTGATGTACTTTGGATCGCAATGCTCCAAGATGTCGAAGCTGATCTTAGTAGTAACTTTCTTGCCAAGCACGAACATCAAGAGGGCAAGGAGAGTGGTAGCCGCAGCGGGAATCCAGTGGTACTGGTAGTCGGGATGACTTGGATACCAAGCCATCGCTTTGACAAAGGACAATGACCGCGGTAGCCACGCAGCTTCATTCTACGGGTTTATACAGAGCCGGAAGGCTCGAAGTTCAGGGTGCTCTAGCGAAACTCCAGCAGTTCCTACAACACCCCCCCCTCTTCTCCCAGAAATGAATCACCATACCGATAAAGCCCCCCAAGCCCTAAACCCCTAAACCCCCAAACCCGTAAACCCAAACCAGCCCGCAGTCACACCAAAAAATGGCTCCTCCAGATCCTTTCGCTCAAAAACTGCGAGCTGCGTGCATGGACCTCGCCGAGAGAGCGCTGAGTTTAAGAGGCTTCCCGAGGCACAGTCGAAGGTTTAGGGCTTAATTAGAGCCCGAACCTAGTATACCCCAAACCCCAAAACCGTAATCGTTCAGGGCTGTACCTGAAATCATCGGAGGAACCTGATCATGATTCCGATTTTAGGTGCTCAGTCTCTGGGGAAACCGACAAGGCGCTAATTTTCACGGGCGCAAAGATTGGACCTCTTTCGAACACTACGAACTATATTAATTATTAGGTTACGGCCCGCTAGGAACTTCTGACCCCTTGAAGCAACAGGCATACTACCAAGCACCGAACCCGGATGTTCTCCACCCAAGCCCCCTCCCCTAACCGCCAGCCTAAACCCTAAACACCTAAACTCACCTAAACCCTAAACCCCTAAACCCAAAAACCTAAAAACCCTAAACACCTAAACCCTAAAACCCTAAACCCAGAAACCTAAAAACCCTAAACACCCAAAACCCTAAACCCCTAAAACCCTAAACCCCTAAACCCAAAACTCTAAATCCGGAAGCCTCTTGTTCCCCTCAATCTCGAACCTTGAGCCCCGCAAGCTTAACCACAGACTCCTGAAACATAGGGCCGTAGAAATTAAAATAAGCTTCTGGGGTATATTATACTATAAACATAATAAGGAACCCCACAAAATAGTATAGGTAATTATTGAGGCCCCTATATTAGACGCAAAAGTTGAAGCCTAGACCCCAACGTTTCTGAAACCTATAGAGGCTAAGCCTAAGCACGGTTTAGGGTTTAGAGTCAATCCTCTCAAAATTTAGCAGGATTCTGCATGTATGAACCCCCTGACCCCTGACTTGAACTCTGCAGAGACACCATAACAGTTGAACGTGCCGGTATAAAGCCTTAAAGCACAGGTCAAGGCCCGCCCTGTAGCCTAAAGGCCTATTTCTCCACGTTTCCTTGTTATGAAAGTCGTCGTGGACTTCTTTGAGGTCTGTCACTGGTCGCGCTTTTTTGGTGTTAAAGCACAACCTATGAAGCCTTTGAAGCCTAAGCCTGGTCGAAACCCGAAGCTCGAAACCCTAGGCCCCACACCTAAAACCCTTAACAGCCCTAACCCAGCCCCTACAAACCCTAGAAGCCCCCAAACCCCTACAAACCCTACACCCTAGGAGCCATCTGAAGCCCCCAACTCACCTGAATTTCGTGGGTTGCCCTGACACTTAAAGCCCCAAACCCTAAACCCT